TATTGTTAATTTATAAAATTAAAATAGAATTAATTAATTTTTTTTGCTCTTAAAATTAGTTCTTCTTTAAAATATAAATATCATAAAGTTTCAAAAAGATTTATCCATTGATAATTTTGTAATTGATGGACAGGACATGAAATTAAATAAAGTGTATTAAAAAGAGTAAATTAATAAAAACATCCTTTTTATTTATGATTTATTAAGGGACGTATAAAGTTGAAATAGTATAAAATTAAAGGAGTAATAACTATACCGATCACTTGAAAGAAACAAATAATTCAATTTCTAACTAATGAACTTTGTATCTCAATCATCGACCTCCAAAAAAATCTATCGACTTCCTACAAAGAAAATATCTCGAAACTCGAAAGTACATTTGTGGATTCCTTTTATACGTGTCTTACATTTGTGGATTCGTTTTATACATAATAGGATCGTTTGGTAATATCCATTAAATTATTATTTTTTCATACATTAATAATTACAACAGTAATATTTTATTTGATATTTTCTTATTTATATATCATTAATACAAATATTTATTATTCACTCTACTATTTTTGTAGAATGCTATATATAATTGATTTATGGCAAATCATATTATTAGTTATGCAATAGCTTTTAATGCATTATTAACATAGTTGTTTCTCAAATCTTTTTCACACCATTTTCATTATATTTGTAAATGACATTTTTAACAAATTAAATATACAAATTATTTTTACTTCACCGTACCAAGCCATGTTTAGAAAATAATTTCAGCATAACAATTAATAATGGAAATATTACTAATTCACCCTTTTACCTATTTTTATGCACCAAAAAGGGACACCCGTGTGAGTAGGGAGAGAGATGGGGCCCACCTGTTGGGTTAGTAGTGGGACAAGTCAACCCTTGAAGAAGGGCATGTTCAAATTTTGATTGGCTAACACACTAACCCACCATGTGACTCTGTTTCTTTGTCGCCTTATCATCAGGACCGTACGATTATTTATTATTGCCACGTGGCATGTTTTTACGTAGCCGTCACACAAAGTATAATCACACGTCATGTTTGGATCTCCCAAAGATTTTAACGATTTTTCCCTCAATTCACTTTCTCCATCATCTTCAATTAATAGTTTTGATTACTTTCCTCGTTTTAATTTATTTATCTTTTTTTTATTATTATTGATTTTGATTCTTAATTTTAAGTAGTAATGTGTAACATTATTTATGTCGCTCTCCATATTAGATTATTAATTCAAGACTCTTCTAGATGACTTGTGTATTAGTCTTCACTTTTATATATGTCTCATGAGTTACATTAGTGAACTTGCTTTTTAAGTATTAATATGTTTTAATCTTGTTCAACTTGAATTTTCGAACCTTTAAACCTTCAATTTATCATTAATTTTGTCATGATTTTCGTTAATCAATACCATATCATTCACAAATAACATATATCATAACTTTAAATTTGACAATTATTTCATTTAATAAAAATTATTTAAAACAAAAAATATCAGACTTAAATAAATAAATCTTTATTTTGATTTTGAACTTTTATCATGAGTACTACAATATCTTACCCCAAAACAAGTTAGGATTGACCGTGTGAATACTCACATTCCATTTAAAACTCAATTTATATCTTAGTTTCACAAAATATAAAAGTAAAATATTAAATATATCTTAATTAATATAAGGAACGATAAGTTAAAAAGAACAAAAGATAAAATGCTTGGAAATGCCCCCATGCAGGATCGAACTACAGACCTCCAGTTTACAAGACTGGCGCTCTACCACTGAGCTATAGGGGCTTTGGATATTAAAGTAAGTTATTTTAGTTTATTTATCTATTATCTACAGAAATGGAGAAGGGAAGACAACTTTACATATATTACCAACAGTTATTTAATTAAGCATATATTCAATTTAAATAACAAAATGCATCTTCTCCTCATAGAAGACGACGATAACAACAACAATATATCTAGTGAAATTCAACTAACTAAGTCAAATCTGAAAAGGTATAATGTACGCAGACCTTACCAGTTACCATATACCTCAAAGAGATAGAGAAACTGTTGCTCAAGTGCATTTTCCTCATAGAAGAAAGCAACATTAACACTAATGTGAGATGTTTTCCATTTTTTTAACTCCCCTCCTTAAACTCAACATATAAAGAGACCACATATCTCATTAACTATAAAATGCGAGATTATTTTCATTGTTCAACAACTACTATCAAGCCATAAACTTTGAAATGATCTTTTTTCCTTATAAAGTGACTTCAAAAATAAAATACATTGGACAATTTTTCATCAATTCTAGAAATTTTTGCTTTGAATATATATACATGTCAAAGCTAAGTACTTGTATAGTACTATCCATTACCGTGAAAAAACACATGCATCCACATGAAATGCATATGTATCATGACCCCCATAATCATTAGCTTAATTTTGTTAAACATGATAAGTTATGTAGTGATCAAATAATTTTAGTGTCTCCAAAATTAAGTGTATAAATTTTCAAAAAAAATCTATTATCTTTCCCTTCAAATAAGGATTAAGGGGCGAGGGCGCCGCCTTCCAATCCAATATTCTAGAGGTAATAGATGTGACTTACCTGGCTTTGAGCAAGCCGCTTTCAATCGTTCCCATCGTTTTGACTGGGTAGAATGAATGCGAGAATGAACACGGAAGCCCGCACCCCCCAACCTTTGTAAAATTGATATATTAATATCATATTTGGTTGCAAGGGTACAAAGACCTACGGTTGTCCTACAAGACAACAACGCTCTAAGAGATATTGGAGAAAGATCAATATGCATATCTTTCGTCCAATACCTTTTAGCAAACTCGATGGTACCA